TGGTCTTCTCGCTGAGGCTGGAGTGCAATGGCATGATCTTGGCTCACTGCAACCTCTGCCTTCTAGGTTCAAGCAATTCTTCTGCCTTGACCTCCTGAGTAGCTGGGATTACAGGTGCCCACCACCACGCCCAGCTAATTTTTTTATTTTTAGTAGAGACAGGATTTTGCCATGTTGGCCAGGCTGGTCTCGAACTCCTGACCTCAGGTAATCCACCCACCTCGGTCTCCCAAAGTGTTGGGATTACAGGCATGAGCCTCTGCACTTGACCTTAATCTCTGCTTTAAAAGTATCTAAAAAGGCACTAGATCCTCCTACCACCCTCTAGACTGTCCTCTGAAGCCAGATTCTGTTTTCTTAAATGTCACGTAAATAATGTCATTCAGTGTTGCTGAAAAGAAAACATCGTAACTCCTTAGCATTTAGGCCTTCCAAATTGGGATCTTAATATATCTTTAAAATAATTTTTAATTTTGAGTAGATTTTCCATTCACATGGCTCAAAAAAGCACCTAGGTATATGGTGAAAAGTCTTCCTTTCCATTTTTCTCACAGTTCCCCCATTTGTTTCATGGGTGCCCTCAGGAGGGTTTCTAAATATGTCTTTTTGTTATTTCCCACACCACCCACACAGTTTTCCCATCAGATCATCCCATCTCTGAATATGCCTTTGCTGTTCTTCTTCCTGCCTGTAAAATACTCCTCCTACCTGACTACTAATCTATTAAACCAATAAATATCCGGGATTTCTGCAGGGTTGTGATTTATTGACCAATAAAGTGAAAAGGAAGAAAGAGGAAAGGAACTAGCTTCTGTATTTTGGGCTCAGGAAGTCAGGAGGAGATACCAAAATGCCCCTGAATATTTCGTTGTTTATTAAGTAGTGGAAGAACCTCCCTTTCACACTTATTTAAAAACAAAACAAAGCACTAAAAGTCCAGTACTTTTAAAAAAGACATTACACAATGTTAAGCCTTTAAATCCCACTCTAACACCAGTAAGTGCCTGACTAGGAGGATTAATTCCAATTTGACTTATCTGACCAGATTTGGCAAATCCATTCCCTTCAGAGCAGCAGCCAGCAAAATTATCTGATTCATAACAAGATGAAGAACATTCTGGCACCCTGAGAAGGAGGATTACTGTGTGCAAAAGAGTGGTTCAGTGAAGGTGGAGGAGGGTCCTGTGCGGAGCAGCTGTCCTTCCCCAGCTGCCCCTTGGTTACTCCTGACCTGATGGTTAACAAAGGTTGCAAGAAACTCCTGACGTTGAAATGTTATCGTTCAACCAGTTGATAGCATCTGCAGAGCCTCAGACCTGTCAGACAGGGCCATGTTTGTGGATAATATTTTTGTTCTCCCCAGTTTATCTTATGAATGATCATATCTAGTAGCTTAACTAATAATTTGCCCCGTTGTCTAATCTACAAAGAGAAAATCTTAACACAAACTTGATTAAACAATGAACAGATAAAAATGTTTATACTGTTCTGAAAAATGGTTTAATTTTAATGGTTTAGTTTTTAAACTGTAAAATATTATGCTTTTCAGAAATCACCCCTCTGAGAATAATCTACAAACTCACTAATTTACTCAAAGATACCACCATTAAAAATGAAAAAAGATAAAGTATCAAAACTTATGCCTTAAAAATATTTGGCTATAACAATTTTACTTATTCTAAGACATGCTGTTACTACTTGAATTGAGAACGCATTATTGTATATTTGAAAGCTTTATGAAACTGCTTTACCCTTTTCCTGTGAAATATTATTGAAAAATGGTATTCAAATACTCTACAGGGCTTTATATATTCACTAATGTAATTTCACCATAAATCACTTTGTGTTAAGACACTCAGTATATGTGAGCAGAGAAGTGTTTAAAAATATGCAAAACATAAAAAGGGCAAAGAAAATAAAATAAGCAGGCCAGGGGCAATGGCTCACACCTGTAATCTTTGGGAGGCCGAGGCAAGCAGATTGCTTTAGCAATCTGCTGGGCAACAAGGCATAAAATCTGTCTCTACAAAAAATATGAAAATTAGCTGGACGTGGTGGCATAAGCCTGTGGTTCCAGCTACTTGGGAGGCTGAGGTGGGAGGATGGCTTGGGAGGGAGGCAGAGGCTGCTGTTAGCTGCGATTATACCACTGCAATCCAGCCTGGGCAACAGATAGAGACTGTCTCAAAAAAAAAAAAAGGAGGGTATTTTTCTTTTTTTTTTTTTTTTTTTTTGAGACGGAGTTTCGCTCTTGTTACCCAGGCTGGAGTGCAATGGCGCGATCTCGGCTCACCGCAACCTCTGCCTCCTGGGTTCAGGCAATTCTCCTGCCTCAGCCTCCTGAGTAGCTGGGATTACAGGCACGCACCACCATGCCCAGCTGATTTTTTGTATTTTTAGTAGAGATGGGGTTTCACCATGTTGACCAGGATGGTCTCGATCTCTTGACCTCGTGATCCACCCGCCTCGGCCTCCCAAAGTGCTGGGATTACAGGCTTGAGCCACCGCGCCCGGCCAGGAGGGTATTTTTCAAGCTTAAAAATATTGTTGTTCTGAAAACCGAGAAGCTAAATGGAGTGAAAATTACCTGTCACATATAACCCACCAAACTGGAAGACAAAATGGCGCATTTTGTGACGATTACAACCTAATTCAAGGGCTCCATAAAATATCAATATTTTTCTTTGTATTTTTAATTTACTGTGGTTTCCTACTTTATTCCATAAAGAAATTAAAGTGGCTTACAAAATATCTAACTTTATGCTAAATGAAAATTTTCAAAACAAATGGTTCAAAGCTGGGATCACATGCAGATTTATAGGTCATAAAGTGTTATATGGCTATTAAATTTGGGCTGCAAATATTTTTTAGCGGCTTAATAGTCAAAGTAAAAAGAAACATGATAGGTTAAAATTTCACATTCCATTAATTGATAATTTAATCAGTTAGGAGAGTGGAAACTTTTTCTGTCATTTAGGTCTATAAGACATTTGTGTGGATTTTCGTGTGTGGGCATCAGGTGACACGTGGGCATCTTTAACAACATCTGGAGTACACACGTAGTGGGTTCTGTCTGTAGTTTCTTCTACCATTAGTCTATGTAAACCAAATGTATAACAGTGTAATGTAAATTGAAAAGGTAATCTGCCGGGCACAGTGGCTCACATCTGTAATCCCAGCACTTTG